ATTTCAAAGTTATTTGAATGACAGGAGGAAGAGCTTCCACGCTTCTTCCTTCTCTAGCCAGTTTAGTTTAGCTATAGACCCTCGAGATGTTGCTTGTAAATACAATAAGTGAAAATTTGTCCAAGTGAACTACAGCCTTTAGTTAAACCCTTTGACAATCCTCAGTTCTCAAGTTGCTTAAGGTTGGCCGAACCCCACGGCAACCCTCATCCCTTCGGAAATGCTCTGGTTTGAACAGCTTTCCCTCTTCTCCCTTCCCTTCCACCACAAGAGCTGCTTTTCCGACAGTGACGGGGTATTTTTGTACCTCCCTGCTAGGTGTTTGCGGAGGGACTTTCTTTTGCAGGGAAACTGAGCGGGAAAGGGGGATTAATTTGGCTGCCAGGGAGCGAGCCCCGCAGGAGGGGCGGCAAGGGGGGCAGGTGGCACGTTTGTCCCTTGTAAGGGCTTGGACCTTCATGTTGCCCTGGCTGCTGGCAAATGCCAAGACATCTCGGGAGCAGCTGGAAGCGGGACCAGAGTCTCTGTTTATGAGTCACCGTGTTCTGGTGGTTGTGTTAAGTGAACGCGCAGTCCTAGGTGTAATGATACATGAGATAAGTCAGACTCTTCCCTTTTTTTTTTTTTTTTTAAATCTTAATTTTTTTGTACTTTTTCTCCTGTTCTCCTTCGGAACGGCTGTATTCCCCCACCATTCATTTGTATGTTCATGGGACCGCTCACCTGAGAACGGAAACTCAGTCTAAGCAGCTGAGGATGCTGGGGTGACCCCCCCGCTTTGCCTCTGTCCAGTGCGCTCAGCTCAGTTTCAGGGAAAAAGCTGCACTGTCTTCAGATGTTTCTTATTTCCTTTGAAAACTTATCTGCACCTCCAGCGCACAAGCTTTAGTAGTGAGCTATTTAAGTCAGTCAGTAGTTTAAAGGACGGAGTTGTTGCAGCTGTCATAAGCAAGCAGGTATCGAGTTGCTGTTTTTTCCTTTTTTTTTTTTTTTTTTTAAATCTTAATTTTTTTGTACTTTTTCTCCTGTTCTCCTTCGGAACGGCTGTATTCCCCCACCATTCATTTGTATGTTCATGGGACCGCTCACCTGAGAACGGAAACTCAGTCTAAGCAGCTGAGGATGCTGGGGTGACCCCCCCGCTTTGCCTCTGTCCAGTGCGCTCAGCTCAGTTTCAGGGAAAAAGCTGCACTGTCTTCAGATGTTTCTTATTTCCTTTGAAAACTTATCTGCACCTCCAGCGCACAAGCTTTAGTAGTGAGCTATTTAAGTCAGTCAGTAGTTTAAAGGACGGAGTTGTTGCAGCTGTCATAAGCAAGCAGGTATCGAGTTGCTGGTGTGGAAACAAAAGCGCAGGCTGGTCCACCTGTTCCTCGGGGGAATGCTCTGCTCATGTAAATGCTATGTAGGAAAGAAAGGCGCTGCACGGCTAATCGCTCTCGGACCGGGGAAAATCAGAAGTAAGGAATGTTGTTTTAGTCTTAGGTAATGGAGGAAATATTTAGTTGATGTTCAAAGCGACAAATACAGTCCCAGTAAAAATATGATTGTATGTTTTCATCTATTGGAAAAAGACCATACTGCTGCATTGAGATAATTGGGCATAAATATGAGTATTATTTTGTGTTCTCTTTTCTTCGCCTTCTATTCTTTGGTTAGTTGGCTTTTTGAGACTTGGACTGTGTCTCCACCCTTCTCCATGGCAGTTTAGAGGTTTAGAGGTTTATCTCTTCCAGTCTTTTTTTTTTTTTTGTCCCCCACCCCAAGAAAGTAAAGATTTACACAAACCTGTGAAGTTAAAGCGCATTTAGGAAAGAAGTTACGAGAGCTGACTGCGAGATGTGGACGTGACACTCTTGCAGCGAGTGAGGAGAGAAAGGTGTGCAGTCCCTGCCGGGGCCGGGGTCTCTCCCAGGCTGTGGCCTGGGGGCCGGGAGGAGCTGGCGGGACCCACCCCCCCGGGGGGGGGGGGGGGCAGGCGCCCGGAGGCCTCGGTACAAGCCGGGGCGGTGAAATAGCCTGAGGCTGTGGTAGGTATCTCACCTTGATAAAGTCCCCCAGCATCTTCTCTGGAGCGCTAACTATCTTCATGAGGCTGGTGTGAGTGGTTTCCTTGTTTTTTGTTTCCACCCCCCCGGAGTGCTGTTCTGAAACGATCCTATCCCGTTGTTCTGACCTCCGCGCGATCCGGGTCCCTAGCAGTTGGCCATTTCCTCCGCTCCGCTGTCTTGCCTTTCTCAGGCCGTTTCCCCCCTCCGTCTGTTCGAGGGTGTAACTCCCGCTGGCTGGCTGCCGAGGTGCTGCCTTTGCTGCCCATACGCTGTGTTACCGCACTGTGCCTCCACCCGGCCCTCGAGAGGTCTCTGAAAGCCGGGGAGTTTATTTTTTAGGGTTATTTGGTCCCGTCACACTGCTCATAATTGGTCGAGATGGAAATTTTTAGAAGGGATAGCAGAGGGGTGGGGGAGTCCTGACGTGCTGCTTCCCTGTCCCTTTGCCCCGGTGGCAGGAGCCAGCGTGCCTCCTTCATGTGCCGTTACGCGGTGCCAGGGTAGGCACTCATTTGACTGCCGTTTATGGAAGCAAATACACTAAAATTAAAATCCCAGTGGATTTTAGCTGTGCGGCACTCTGTATTGCAGTTGAAAAACTGGTTAAAATAATTCCCAAGAAGCAATTATTGCAAATAAAATAGTTCTCAAGATTTGGTTATATGACTTTCTGTAAAATAATGTCAAGCAAAGCTCCAGTTGGTAAATTATGGGGGTTTTTTGCAGTATACAATCATTAATTCGGATAATTTGGCTTTTAGGTCCTACCTCACGTACCAGCAGCGCTTTTGGAAGCAGTGATGTTTTAGGCACTCTCTTTTGAATTGCACCAATTCAGGATGCATCTCCACAATGCAGTTTTTCCACATTCTTCATAGGGCCCAGCAAAGCCTGTAGAAATCACGGATTGATATATCCGCTGAAGGCAGACCTTTAGTTTTTAAGTCAGTACAATGATATACTGAATCTGATTTACAAACTATTAAAATTGAAACTCTATACTTCCAGAGTTTAATTTTAAACTTTCCAGTGACCACAATGCATTTTCTTAAATTGTAAAAAACTAGTTTTTTAAAAAGGCATGGCAAAGCATTTATGAAAATATTGCTAGACTTCCTAAATTACAAAGTGCAGACATCTGAAGTGTGAAATGACTCCACCTGCCTCATTGCTCTTACTAACCAGTCCAAAATAATAATTAAAAGTATTTGTTCTCAGCAAGAATTTGCATTGCATTAACTTTTCCCACTCCTCCTCAGAATGTACATTAAAGGCAAGGCCCAAAGCTTGTGCTTTCACTGACTAAATTAGGCTAAATATTTTGTAAAACATAACCATTTTGTGAGCAGGCTGCATGTGAGGTGTGACTATTTATATCCTCAGATGCTCCTGTTCTGTGGTTTTTTGCCCTCTTTTCTCTTACTGCTGTTTTTCCAAAGTTACCTGCCCTCAGCCAGCCTTTGAGGAAGGAGCAGCAGCTCCATACCTATCTCATCGGACAAGCCCTTATCTATAGAAGCAGCGATGATGAGCCACCACCATCTCGGGGCAGCGTCCAGTTGAAGAGCGCAGGGCATCTGAGAGACTTAATGTTTTGGTTTGTTTCCTCTTTTCTGGCCAGGTTTAATAAGCATTTCAGGATAGATGGATTCCCGTGCTGCTTACAGCAGCTAGACCTCCTGAGCTGTGCGTTGAGAGCATCCATCAGCCAGGTTCACGTGATATTCTGCTTTTCTGTGGGGTCTGGGAATGCAGAGTTGACGTTTTTTGGCACAACTCTTGCAGCGAGTTACAGCTGGGCAAGTCCTCTACAAGCCCCTACCCTCAAGCCTCCAGGGCAAAGCCAAGGGAGGGGGATGTTTCCCTCTTGTCCCCACTCTCCAAAGACGACAGTTCCCAGATGTGCTTTTCCAGATGACTTGGCTGAATGCAAAAGCCCTCTCCCTAAAACCATGGCGGGGAATAAGACGTGAATTAAGGAACTAGACTCAAATTTCTAGTACGGCATTTTCACATCGCCCATGGCCAGATGAGCCTGTACCTTATGGCATGAGGAGGGCAGACTACAGGCACGCAACCACGCAGCTTGCTGCGACCAAATAGTTACCAGAGAGAGCAGTTTCTGATGGGCTTTCCCCTCGCCCTCACCGCATCCCGTGTGAGTTTCAGCACTGTGAACAGGACTGGAGCAGGGGTCCTGTTTCGGGAGGAACCAGGTTTCGTGCTTCCCTGCAAGCCCAGAAATAGGAGCTGCTCCCACAGAAGCTTCCTCCCCACGTGAATCACAGCGAGCGTCGCTCCATGGAAAACACCAGTGACCATGAGGGCAGGCGGTCCAGCATATTCTCCCAGTGACCAAGGCACGCCACTCAGGGTGAAGCCCTTCTCACGTTAATAAAAGTGTGTGAGCTTTGTTCCTCTCGCCCGTTTCTCTCCCTCATGAAAGGGGTTGTTCGGCTACAAGGCAGTGTTTGAGTTTTCCGGTGCGTTTGTTGCTTTGTAGGTGGGTCGTAGGGGTTCTGTGCTGCTGGCCTGGGGGCAGCGGGGGAGCCAGGCCCCCTTGCTGCCTCCATCCCCGCAGCTGCAGCCTTCACCCCCAATTTCCCCGATGGGGACTCGGTCTGTTTCTCTTCTAGTTAAGCAGCTGATAATAATTGCCAGTTAGCTACAGCACTTCTGCTACAGGGCTGTAGTACCGTCAGGCTCTGGATATCCAGACTAACCACGGAGTAGGATAGAACGGCACTGTCAGTGAAATAAAAGATTTAAGTCTGATTGAATTACTGTTGTTTTTTTTTCCCGTATTTGTTTGTTTTTTAAAATTCTATTGAGTCTTGACAAGTGAAGTTAAGATACAGAAGGTCATGAAATCAGAGAGTCTGGCTCACGGATAATTAAGAACTGACTGTACTTCTTAAGCTGAAGTTTAAAAAAACAGTTTGTGGCAGCTATATAGGTGAACAGCTATTTTATTATTTAAACATTTTGTTTGGTTCAACCATGTTCAGGGTAGAGGCTTTCCGTGACGCAGCATCTGCTATGGAACAAGAGAAAGAAATCCTGCTAGAAATGATCCACAATATACAGAACAGCCAGGACATGAGGCAGATCAGCGAAGGTGAGAAGCTGCTTTGCCGTACCCTCCCAACTGACCTGAAGTCAAAACAGCCCATGCCTTAGGGAGCAGCTCCGTTTGCTTGCTGCTGGTAAGGGCACGGGCATTGGAGCCAGCTACGGTTACTGAAGGGCCAGCCGTTACCCTGGGATCCGCTGCTTCTTGACCGTGTAAATTCCCAGACCGTTCAGCAGGATGGTCTACCATGAATGTCACTACTGTGTATGTGAAAGCCCATACTCAGTTCACTGATTTATTGTCAAAATCAGGGTTAATATAGCTCAGCTGAGGCAGAGAAGTTGATCATAATGATGATGATGATGAAACAGTTGAAAAACCAGCACTTTAATGGCTTTGACTACTGGACAGGCATGAGTGCTACTAAGTGTACAGCCTGCAAGAACCCGATGATTAAGATGCTTGTGGTTGTGTGATATATGACTTTATATTCTCTAAATCTGTACGTTTTGTATTAGGTGCTTTACACTGCTGGTTTATTGGCTCTTCAAGGGCCTGTATGTCAAATACGTTGTGTCCATATTTTAGGAGAAAACTAAGTCTTCAGAAAATAGAAAACCATTTTTTTTCATGGCCCCCTTAATTGCCTCTGGTAATCAGAAACCAGTTTTCTCTTTATAGCCTTCTGAGGTACCGTCTAAATCTCTCCCTCACAGTGGCACAGAAGGTCCTTAATGTGCCTGTTCTGTTAATGAATAATGTTTCCTGATAATATTGTATGCTTTGCTTTAATGTGACACAGCAAGCATTGTGTTAGCAGCGGAAAAGCACTGCGGAATTTTTAGTAGAGCTTACTGCCTCTTTTCAAAGCAGAAGATGCTAGCTTCTGTGAAGTAAGTAGGACTTACTTAGGCAAGTGCAGAAACCTCATTTCTGGCCCCTGGAAATCTTGTTGATGGTCACTTACTTAAAAAAAACACCTTGTTTATTGCAAAGTTGTAGCAGTTTGATTGTCTGGATGATGCTACTTGCACAGGATAAAAAAAACACCTTGTTTATTGCAAAGTTGTAGCAGGTCTGGATTCTGGATGATGCTACTTGCACAGGAAAGTATTCACCTGTAATACTTTCTTCACAGGAAAGTATTCACCTGTAACCTAGAATACTTTCTTGTTTCCGATTTAGGTGAGAGAGAAGAACTTAATTTAACTGCTAATCGTCTGATGGGCCGAACCCTCACTGTGGAGGTTTCTGTAGAAACCATCCGAAACGCCCAGCAGCAGGAATCCCTACTGCATGCCACGAAGATGATCGATGAAATTGTCAATAAACTTCTAGATGACTTGGAAGACGCCAAAATCCGCTTAATGTCGCTTTACGGTGCGTGCACATCTGACGTGCCAGCAGGACCCATCGATCAGAAATTTCAGTCTGTGGTAATCGGATGTGCCATTGAGGATCAGAAGAAAATCAAAAGGCGGCTAGAGACTCTGCTCAGAAACATAGAAAATTCTGAAAAGTCAATCACATTGCTGGAGCACCAGAAATCATCTGTTCGACAGTCTTGCAACAGCAAACAGGATTAAACTACCCTCCTGGCTACTTCTGGCAAATCGCAGGATGAGCAGACCGCCATAAAAAGCACACAGAAGCTAAGAAAAAAATTCTCTGTCCAAGCACGCGCGTATATACGCATGCACGCGCACCAAAGTATCTTTGATTGCGAGATGCGAGCATTTAGTGGGTTTTGGTAGCATTGGCATTTTCTTTTGGCAATAAGAATGCTATCAGGAGTTCTCCTGTAGAGTCGATACCGCTCTATTGCAAAGTGTAATAGTGCTTCTGCTGAACTGTCAGAAACTGTCAAAATCTAGCCTTTCCTCCATTCTCCTGGGGTTTTTTTTAAACTAAAGTTGTTTTGTCATATAGTGAGATTTCAGCTTTTCTCTGCTGTATACATACTGTGCAAACTAGACTTTTGGGGAAAAAAGGCAAATCGTGGCAATAAATCAAAAACATTAATAAACTGTATATTGTATTTTCATAAACGACACACTGTCCTACTCATTACCATTTGTAATTTTAATAATTTGGCACTGTTCATACTTAGATCACTGTACTTTCAAGAGACAGACAGATACCTCGTTTGTAACTGATAATGTACATTTGACTTATTTTGACCTAAGTTACTGGTTTATTTGTAAAATTCCTGCTTCTGTTTGCCTTCTTCCACTTTCCTAAATCCTGTGTCACCGGACCCACAGGATGTCCGCGATACAGCCATCACTACCCTCTCCTATGCTTTAAGACTGCACGCTGACATGCCACATCCATCAACGATCCCACAGATCTGAACAATCTAACTTTAAAACTAGCGATACTGTCCTTAAAACTTTCTTTCACGCTACCCGTAAGACACAGGAAAATACACCTTTTTTTTTTTTTTTTTTTTTAAAACTGTAGTTCCATACTGGCTATCAACCATGTAGCGCTGTTAAAAGTAACTCAAAATAGCTAAACGTAGCTGGCATCATACACGTAACAGATCAACAAAAGAACAGATTAAAGTTTTTCATTTTTTTTAAGTGCTATCTGTTGTCAAAAATCAAATCAACAGTAGACAAGGCTCAGCAGGGATAAGACAGCTGGGACAAAGAAGGTGTAAGAAAAAACAATGAACTTTTGGTCCCGTTATCTCCTGAGCAATGAAATAAGGCTCTGCTCCACTTTTCAGCATAAGCCAGTCTTGGAAACGGGACATTTGCGAGCATGAGACATTTTTCTCAGAGATGCCAGAAGCACCCGGGTGTTTGCCATGGTTATGGCAGGGGCCAGCAGCAGAAGTCACATGAAACGGCCACCCAGCTTCCTGAAGCTGAACAAGATGCAGCTGCACAGTACATAAAACCCCCACCTAGCCAGTGTCAAAGCGAGCTTCACTTAATTGTAGTTAAGCACTTCCCTGACCTAAAAATACATGACTATAAAAACGTGAGTTTTCTCACACTTCAAGATTTTTTTCTTGCCTAAAACATTGCTAATTAATCCTTCTTGGGCATGTTAAGCAAGCAAATTGTTTTTCTGTGTGCAAAACCGCATGCAAGAGGAAGCAGGAGTATATTACTTCCCAGATTCCCGAGATACCTGAGTAAAGAGGCAGACCCACATGCTGCGAGTTCTGTTTTACTACAAAAAAAAAAAAAGAGGGGGGGGGGGGGGAAATCAGTGACTAGTTACCTGTTTCTCTTCAGAAAATGCATCAGGCATCTTTGATATAGTAGTAATATTTTAATGCCACTTGCAAAGTCTACAGACATTCACTTCAACCTTGTCACTGTATTAGCCAGACCAATCATGAAAAAGAAAATGACCAGAAAGAGAACAGAACAGAACCTGCATTTTGTATTTGAACCGTGTGGTGGAGAAATTGGAGGCAAGAGCTCAGAAACAGCATTTCTGTTGGATTGGGGTGCCCACGCTTGTTCCTTTGAGGGTAATCTAATGCGTGCTGCCTTGGATCCCAAGTGTTCGCAACACACGGACGGGAATCAGGCACGCGAGTTTCTCGAGCAGATTCAGGTTGCACAGCTACAGGGTTATAGCAATTTTTTTGAAATTTAACACACTGACAATTTAATATAACCACAAAAGTAGTGACCTGTATCAGACCAAACAGTAATCAAATAAACATGTTTAAACTGCATGATACAACTAACGTCACTTACAAGAGAACAGCAGAATTAACTCATAGGGATTTTACAGGAATGGCATACACAGAACATTCAGTTTTAAACATTTATTTTTCCACTTGAGGATTTACTGTAAGTTGACTTTTTTTTCTAAAAATATATTACATTTACTTGAGATCACAACAGTGATAAAAAGAGTTATGTACATTATCTGTTTTAACCATTCAGATTCACATGAACTTGCAAGTAAGAGAAGTCATTTATCAGTAACGATGCGTCTTTATCCTCGCAATGAGAATGGTATTTCTCCTGGTCCAGATTTTTACTTTTTTTGACCAACGTTAGTTGGTTCTGCTGAACCACATTTATCTCAGGAAAAGAAGAAAGAACACTCACTCCACAAATTATTTATCAGTATTACCCTACTACTAGAAACCTGAGAATGAGCCTAGTTCAGTACTAGGACTCACCTGGCTTTGAGATGACTTGTATAGAACACTTCGACACAGAACTGTTGGAAAGTTTCTCTTATTCTATTATAGCACCTTTCATCTTAAATCTAAGCATTGCTGCATTTTTTCTTCTATAACTCTGATTACCTGTTTGGATGCCATATTTAACAGAAAGAAGTACTTTCTTCTGTCAGTATTATCTGAGCATTAAAAAGAAGATACGCGCAACGGTTGCTTCCTGCAAAAAGACGGCAGGGTAGTTTCGATGAAATCAAGCTTGTTGGACCATGCCTGCTCTCTGGCTTATGTACAATCAGTGTTCAGGTTCTGCAACTTCAGCCCAAGGTCTATGATTGCAGTTAGAAAAGCAGTAGGGGCTTAGGTACCGTCGCTAGAATCCAAAAAGCATGTTTGTTACTTTGCTGTATGACTGAACTCCCACAAGAGGGTTCCACAGTGCAAATAATTAATTCTATTATTAACTGGTACCTATCAACTTCAACAGATGAATTAACAGGTTCAAAGCGCATGTTCACTGAGTGTTACGCATCTACCCCTGCATAACCTCCAGGCAGTACAGCGTGTTCAGCTGCTCAATTCCCTTTAGTATAACATACATCTACAGAAGTGATACAAAGGAAAACTACTTGTCAGATATGCTTCAGTAAAATTTGTCTTTTTTTTTTTCCCTCTCTACATCTACAGAAGTGATACAAAGGACTACTACTTGTCAGATATGCTTCAGTAAAATTTTTTTTTTTTTCCCTCTCCATTATCGGGCTACAGCATAAAAAAACTGAACAGGAAATCAGACTGACAGTATGGTAATTCAGGCATTTTGACTCAAAAAGGTAAGCGCTGCTTAAGAAACACTGAAAATAAGAGAGATCCGAAATTGTCTTAAGTGGAATATTTAATTTTTTTTTTTTAAATTAACCACACACACACAAGCACAAAAAGTCTTAAGTGTGATCAGTCTTACAACTTTGAGATTTGTTATTTCCAGTTGGAAATACATCCCTAGCGTTACCGCTTTGCATCAAATGACCCCCCACTTACTGGGAGAACACCCATTCACTGAATGGATACAACACGGGAGTGACAGATGCTTTAGTGTCATACTCTATAGCGAATGCTTACTCCACTAAGGCATTAACAATTACTGAAGTTTTCTACTAGTGGTAGCATTATCAGCTGAAAGCAAAGAATTTTGGCAAGATTCAGGTAATACATCCAATGAGCTATTCCAGAGATATTAACAGATAAAATAGGAGTGCAATTAGCTTAGTCTCACAGAACAAAACTTTGCGTCTTGCGGTAGGAACATCTGTTGCTCCTAATCCAGGATGCCGATCTGCCACGGGTGTAACAGAGAGTTACATCCTCTTCCACCACACAGTCACACAGATGCACAGAGAAGCAGTTATTACCAGCTCTGCACCTGGAGGTTTTGTTAACTAAAATATAGGATATTTTAATGAGAACACTTTGAGTGGAGAATGGGGCAATGTTTATAATAAAAATTATTCACAAGGGACAATGCGAGTGCTAAACGTTTAGGCACGTCTCTTCATCCAAAAGGCGAAAGTTACTCCCACTGAAGAGCGATGAGAATACCTAAGGATTCCTGCAATATGCAAGTCATCTGGTTTACATCTACACACTAACCCCAGTAGAATAAAAATTACATTTTCAAGCAGCACACATGCAGAGCACTTCCAGAAAAATGCTAATTTGGACAGTCTCAATCTCAGTCGTATTGGAAAACGAGCGCTGCAGAGTCACAACAAAGAAAGAACCGCTTGAGATTTAAGGTGGAAATGAAATTAAAACTCACTGTTACCCAGTGCTGCAAATATGTATTCCTACATTAAAGTATGTGGACTAAATTTCAACATATCCTAAATTTAGCAAGTCTGTCAAGTCTCCACCTAAGAAAATTTCTACTGAGTTTTCAGTCCTTAAAACAGTGGTTTATAATGACAGACCTTAAATACAAATGGCTTATGTGATAGTATAATGTCTACAGTATTACATGTCATAGCACAAATGGTCATTATACGTAATAAAGACTTCTTTTTCAGTACTCTGTACAAAGTCAAAACAAGGCAAAAAAGATGTTTCAGACACTTTGTGGTTTTGTTTCTTGTTCGAGAGAAATGAATAAAAAACGTGAAACCGGCAGACAGACAACGAAATGTAAGTTTCCATATTAAAAACGGTTGTCAAAATTCTTGATGCATACACTCTGTCCTACATCCTGAAGTTGTAAGGTGGCCCCATGATGTACAATCTTTAGTCTTATCCTAAGTACCTTACTTCTTAAATTGCTAAGACAGATAGGACTTGACTCCATTTATACATACATACAGTGATTAAATGCACTTGTTAAAAAATAAAGGCCTTGATCCAAGAGAAAATAAAGCAAACATTACGGTGAAGAACACACAGTTTTGCTGCAACAGCAAAGGGGATCGAGCGCCTTGAAGGCCGCCTCCTTGCCAGCAACAAGAGATGCTCTAACAGCTTGTCAAGGAAACAACGGTACTCGGTAGAAAGTCTAATATAGTAAACATAAAAATACAGAGTTCAGAGATCTTTAGTGTTTGTGCATAACTTGCCACCCACTTCTCTCCCTGCAGACAGTGGGGAAAAAGAGTACTTTTCAGTTTTCATACTCATTGACTTAGAAACAAAGTCAGTCAAGCTTCCTACATGAATTCACACAGTGAAAAGTCCTTCCTCCAAAAACATACAGCATCACTCAACTCATTTTCATTCTCATACACCATTTAAAAAACTATTAAAACTCTGAATTTTTTCAAGCAGCATATTTTGCATTTGTCACCGGCAGGTTTGTTGTAGAAATCCTATAAAGTTAAAATTATATCATACCATACAAAACCATGTAAACAAAATGGGTATTTTTTTTAAAAGGCATGCATGCTCTTGAAGAGGATTAAAAAGTGTTTATTTTTGGTAAATAGAAGATATCTTGCTTAGCATTTTTAAAAGCACCTTAATGATTTAGGGGCCTAAGCCCAAATAACTTTAATTTAGGTTTGGGCTCCTAAACATCTAAATCAATTCTGTAAAACTACTTAAGCACTTCGAAAAATTTTTGCCAGGTCTCTGATCTTGCAGAATTAGATTTTCTGCAACCAGCAGCTAATTTGGAATCTGAGACAACATTCAAGAACGTCTCATTAATGTAATTCAGCCATCAGCTGCAATTTTTTGGATCCTCCATAACTTAGTTTATGGTATCTATGAAAAGTTTTTCCAAAGAAGATAAATATTTTGTGATACCACTTTGCAAGTTCCTCTTTCATAGACAACACAGGATACAACAATCAAATTTGAACAGGAATACGATTACATTATATGTTCCTTCTGAATAGCTGTTAGTGTCAAAGACTGTGTTATTTGTTCAACCTGTTAAGACTGAAAAAACAAACTTACTTACAAAAACATCTGTAGCACAGCATTAAGTAAAAAGGAGGAGCATTTTTGGCACCATACATTTTTAAATCTAAGCTTTTAGGCCCAAAGTATAGCAAGTTAAACGTACACAGTGGCAGCTGGGAAAGCCTCATCTGAAACGCAACATTTTTAAAGGAAAATTTTTTTTGGAAGATGCTATTTTATGATCATTAGCTGATCTCCAAGTAATGTATACGCTGGAATTTAGCCTAAATATTCATACCAAAAGTTTATATATATACCTTAGCACTCATATATATATATATATATAATACAAGTACATTGCACCAACAGAACTGCCAGAATCCATATTAATATAGTCAGGCATAAAACGTAGTGTCTTCTTTTTGCTCTTCATTT